GAAAGTTTTTCGCTATTACATGTATGCAAAATGAAGTCTATTTTAGTTTTAGTAGCTTTTAGTTACTGCATGAATTGACATGCAGGAACAACAATCACAAGGTCCATTTTTCTCAATCTGTTTTGTGTACTTTTTGTACGTCAAACCTTAACAATAGCCAAAACAATAGAATCAATGCCATATAATGAAGAAAAAACGTTTTTTTCTACAGGGTCTTAATTGCATTGCAATTTAGCTTATATCGCAGGGGTTGAGTGAAAAAAAAAGAAGGCTACTGGCCCAAAGGTTCAGTTGAAGTAAAAATTCACTGGTCTAGATTTAAGTGCAATGGTCTAGAAAACGAGGGCTGCAGGCTCAAGTGAGTGTCAAAAGACACTCAATACTTGAGGGGTCCAGGGGCATGCACCTCTCCTGTAAAATTTTGAAATACAGAAGCTGTGTGGTGCATTCTGGGCTTTAAATAAAGCTTTTCAAATCTGCTGAAATTTTAGATGAATTCAAAAAATACCTACTGGCCATGGCCCAGTGGGATAGCGTGATGAAAAACCTACGGGTCTGCCAAGAAAACCACTGGCCATGGGCCAGCGGACCAGCAGTTAATTCCACCCCTGATATGGCAGATACTGATGAAAACATGGTTATGCACTTTCAGTAACCTCAAAAATCTAGGCCAATTTACTATTGTTCACTGTGAAATGACAGTTCTTCACAAATACTGTCATAATGTAGACTTTTAATTATTGCTTAAAATATCATTCATCTTTTTATCTGTAACAGCAGAGTAGAGTAAGCACTGCTTGGACCACCTCACAGAAATTATTACATGAACTGCATAATCATATAGACTATCTAAGTTGAGTACCTGCTCCAAGAGCTGGCAGCGCTATGGATGTCTGATTATGGTCGTTGGCTTCCTCCATAGACTTCAACACTGCTTCCCGTAGCATGTCCTCCTCGTTATTTCGCCCTCCCTGCCATACTGGTCCCACCGCGTGGGCAATGAAGTTACATTTGATGTTCCCAGGCTTCCCCAAGTACACGTCACCCTCCAACAGCCGGCTGTGTCGTTTGATGTGTTCATCGCAATCCCGCTGTATGCTTTTCCCTCCTGTAACAATACACTGTACTTCAATCTTGAAAATCTACAGATTCTTGATTTTTACAAAAAATAAACTTTTCTGACCCCTTAATTTCCCCCTAGATGTTGCCATGTACCCCTCCCTTTTAATACTTCATTTTCCACCATCCACCTGCATAGGCACCATATGATCAAATTATGGAGGTCTTGCCTTGGCTAAACTCCAACAACCCTTGATAAAAGCAATGGCATGCCCGCCAATACTACATAATTATAATATTTAGGTCAATACAAGGATTTATTAACCCAAAAGTGGTGATATTCCCCAGGACCCTTCTCTCAAAGAATATCCCATAAAACCGAACAGATATTTCAATTGCATGTTTTGTGTTTTTGACTTCTTTATCAATCAGAGTTTTGGTTAATTTGTATTCCTTGATGCTCCTAAATTGAGCCACTTGTCTGTCATTTGCCATATCTGTTTACAATGACAGAGCTTGGCAATCATAATTCTGAAGTTTTTGATTGGTAAAAAATGATTGTGTGATGGAAATCCCCTGATACTACATGTATGTATGGAACAGTTGATATGTCAACCTCCTGAGAGGCAACATGTGTGTGATGTGAACCTAGCTCTCGTGCAGGTGTTCAACTATCATCTCACTGGGAAGTAAAACTGACAGTCATATACAGTGTATGAACAAAATAGAATTTCTTACCCTTATATCCTCACAAGTCTTGGTGATCAATACAGTAAAATAGAATGCCTTACCTTTGTCCACAATAGCCTTTGCGAGCCCTCCAGCATGCTGGAGTTCCTTGTTTGCTGCGTTGACCAGCACATCTACCTTGAGGTTGGTGATGTCCCCCAACATAACCATGAGATGATAGTTAGGCTGGGAACACCTCGCCATTTCTTGTATACCGTCTCGTCTTCTTGGTGCAGGAGTCGGCCCACCTCCAGCCTCTCCTCCACTGACATCATCTTCGCTCTCATCGCTCGGCACGATTACGACACCATGAGATTTTTCCACTTGACTTACTTTCGGTTTACTGTCTTCAGATGTCATCAGTTTGGTGATGCCTGGTTTTTTTAAGATATGTTCTTTTTTCTCGACACTGTCAATGACATTACCTATATCCATCTTTGCTTTACTGAGTCCTACCTCGGTTCCTTTGATTTCCACACCAAGGTTGTCTATATCAATTGAGACTTGGTCTGCTTTGAGCCGATCTGCGATGGCACGAATCTCATTGACGCAATGGGCTTGAAGAAACCTTAGCATTCCTGTGCTGATTGATAATTTGGTGTTGTAAATAGTGTTCATGGTTAAGAAATCAGTCACCCGTTCTCTCACCATCCCAGCATCTCTATCAGTGGAGTAAATCACAATACAAGGTTTGTTCATCTGAACTTTCATTTGTACCATTACATTGCATGAATCTTTGATGGACCGCTCCTCGATGGCCCAACGGTATGATGACAGGAGAGAAGAGGATTCTTTCTTCACATCAACAATGGTCTCTAGAACCGAATCTCTCAGAATGTGTGCCGCACGAACTGCAGCATCATCCGTCATAGCATACACTACAAAACGGTTGTCCTGCATTTCCCAAACAGACATGATTTTGTCCTCTTTCATCTTTCCTGCAACATACTGTTTCACAGCCTTGTCTTGGAGGTAAGCATACCTGCCCTTGTTGAAATCACCCACATCACTGGACACCATAGCATTGATCATTTCATACATTTCCAACTTTGCACTGGTCACCTCTCCATACAACCCTTCATATGTTACCGTTCTGGCCTTAAAATCTAACATGACTTTCATCCCGGGATATTTCTTCTCCATTGTATCAATGAAATGTGTAAGGCTCAACATGACAACTTGGTGATGTTTCATTGGTGAAGTTGTTTCTTTAATTTGTTTATTCTTTCTATCTAACTCATCAGCAATCTCTCCAATGATTTTTTCCACACTTTGAGAAACTTCTGTTGCAAACTTCTTGTGCCCCATGACGAAAATTTCAAAACGGACTTTTTCCACGGCTACTGTAACACCATCAGGGTGAGATATGTTCATATTCTGAAGCTGTGCCATTACACCATCCCAAGCGTCCTGGAGAATCTGATGTTTGTAGACAAGTAGGACATCCAGAAACTTGTCCAGACTTGTCCGTGCTGTCTTCTTCCATTCTTTGGCCAAATTCCGACAATCTTTAACTTCTTTGGTCAACAGACATTCAAGTTTAACTGGATCGGCAAGCTTTTCTGGCCAAATGATTTTTGTATGTTGTGCAGTTAACTGTTTTTCTAAACCATCTTTGTTTGGTTGAGAATACTGAACAAATTGGATCTTCCTTGGATCTAGATCAGTGATAACCAAGACATCTGGAACCTTAAATTTTGGTCCATCTTCTCCAGAGTCCCCTATCAGCTCATGGTAAAGTTTCACATCAAGGGTATGGCTATCCACAGTATGGGAGCGCCCACAGACATGGTCAATCACTGTAAACATCGAAACAACACGCTTACATTGAGTAATTAGGCCTAATTGTTATTGTTCATTCATCACAACAGTTATACCTTCAACATCTCAAAAAAAAATAAAAAAAATCTTTTGAAATGTTAGTAGCAAGTGCAGGGTTGCCAACTCTCACGGTGTGAGACGAAAACTCACGCTAAAACATGTCTCATGCCACGTGAGCCATAAGCCTCATGCATTCGAAAATAGTCTCCCTCCATCCCACGCGAAACAATAAATCGGCAATTTATAGCTTGAACCGTACAAAGGGAAACAACTCATATTGCAATGTTGTGCTTTGGAAGTGAGCTGACGCGAGGTGTCGCTTTACATCTGGTGGAAACGAATGTAAATAATATTGTAAGGTGAGTTGTTTTCACTCGTAAACTTAATATTGAATGTACCTATCGCGCTGAAAAGAAAGTTCTACTCATAATGTCGTCGTGTATGAGGAAATATTGTTGTCGGGTGTGATGACATGTGATGACATGTTGGGTAGACGTAGTACATAGGTATACAAATCATGCAACAAATTAATTGAATCGAATATCTCAGGCATGGTACAAGTAAACGATCAGGGTCTGTTTGTTGCTTTGGATACTGTACTGCAGTAGCCAGAAATAATTTGAAAATATTTTTCACTGTCAAATTATCTGCTGGCTAAAAAAAAATGTTTATCTTTCATGTTAATGAACTTTTCGTATTACTACANGTGTTTGTTGCTTTGGATACTGTACTGCAGTAGCCAGAAATAATTTGAAAATATTTTTCACTGTCAAATTATCTGCTGGCTAAAAAAATTTGTTTATCTTTCATGTTAATGAACTTTTCGTATTACTACAATGGTAAATTTCTTGCTTTTGATATGAACTGTTATGTTTTTTGACAGGTCATGAAAGATCCCATGCCATACTAGCAATATTGACAGCAAAACAAAAAAATTAACTGGTACCTGTTCTAGCCAAGAAAGAAATTGTTACAAGAAAGTCCGTTGATTATAATGTGTTGCATTTCTGATGTCAAGTTGTTTGTGTGATAAATAAAAATCTAATATATATCTGCAAAAAATGTTCTGTTTTTATTTCCTGCAAAGATCTTGAAGTAAAAAGATCAACAATGCAGATGTTACAGTAATCAGTGAAAGCCAGGATTTGTTTGATACATAGGTAAATGTTATCTTAACACCTGAACAAGAGTACCACGGGGTGGAACAAAATACACCTGTCAAATGCCATATAGTGTTATATACTTTCTTACATTGAAATAAGATCTGCATCATTCTAAGAGTGGTAAGCTGATATGCTCTAAAAAATGTAGGAGAAAATTTTCAGACAAATTTAAATAATGAAATGAACAAAAGGCAATAAATTTTGCAAAAAATCGTCGAATCAAAATTCTTTTAGGGGAGACACAACTTCATATCATGATTATAAAGTATACCAAGTTTCAAATAGATCAGTCGAAAATGTAGGAGGAGATTGCCGGACAATCAAAGTTTACGCCAGATGGCCGGACGGACAACACCATACCATAATACTACCGTCAAATTTGACGG